ACACACACCACACATACCACACACACCACACACACACCACACACAAACATACACTCACACACACACTACACACACACACACCCACACACACATACACCACACACACTCACACACACACCACACACACCACACACAAACACACACCACGTACCACATACACACACTCACACACACTACACACACACACTACACACACACACTACACACACACACCACACACACACCATACACACACTCACACACACCACACACACACACCACACACAAACACACACCACTGAGGCAAGTCTTCCACTGAAACCACTGCCGTCTCACAGAGGGAACGTTTTCTCATTCACCCAGAGTGTAAACTAGCTACTGAATAAGCAAGTCCCGGGAATGGGAAGAAAACACGTTAGGTGAGGAGAATTCCTGCCGTGGAAGGAGAAACAGAAACCCTTTCACTAGGAGACAAGGGAAAGTCAGAGCAGACTATACTAGGATTAAGACATTGCCCGGGGGCCCTTGGTTAAACAGTGAGCCCTGCTCTCTGCTTTCAGCTCAGATCCCTTTTCAGACACACCTTTGGTGTGCCTAAAATGACACCTTGGCCTGCAGTGAAAACGTCCCAAATCACCTGGTTCTATGTTGTCACTGGCAGTCAGGTGTCATAGCAGTGAGTAATCACCGTCTGATGACCATACAGAGGCACAAAGACAAGTGCTTCATTAATCGTTTGAAGTCAGTGATGTCAAGGATGGAGTCTGTTGTTACTGCATTGCTTACCGAGGACTCACAACGTGCCAAATTCTTGTCCCAACCACCACATAGGGGAGTGCTGATGAGCAGCCATGTGCCCTGGTGGCTGGCAGCGAGGGCACATGAGTGTCTAGACAGATGCTGCTCGAGCATCGCGTGGCTGAGTACAGGGAGCATGTATTTAAGGACGTGTTATGTAAACTGTAGTTAGAGGAAGATGCAGTCCGAGATGCTGACTAGGAGCATCTAGGAAAGAGAGCCATCAACCATAGCAACCACGATGAGCAGATCCCCGGGGACTTCACGTGGGGGACTGCAGACAAATCCCACCCATGTGTCTTTTAAGGGTTCTGTGGTAAGTGAGTGAACTTACCCAATCTTCTGTCTTCCTGGCCCTCAGGACAAAGTAACCTGTTTCAGATGAAAGCTTTTTTGACACAGACCCCCAGGCCCTAGAGCAGAGTTGTCTTGACTGTGATTCCAGTGTGAGCCCTAGAGAAAAACACCCATTACAAATGAGTGACATCTAGTCCAGGGTCCAGGTCAGGGGATGAAGCCAGGAGAGAGGAGGATGGCTTTTCTGTACTTTATTGGCTTAATCTTGTGTGTATGGCGGGCAGAGGACAGCCTCATGTGCTCATCCTCATCTCCCACCTTGCTTGAGAGAGTGTCTGTTTGCCACTGCATACTCCAGGCTAGCTGGCCCCCACGCTCCCCGAATGCTCCCCGAATTCCCATCTCCACCTCCCACTTAACTGCAGGCATGCTGGGATTACAGGTATGTGCTACCATGGTGGCTTTTCATGGGCCCCAGATCCAGGCTGAGGTCCGTGTGCTTGTGTAGCGGGGTTGTGGACTGAGGTCCCCATGCTCGTGTAGCGGGCCCTTTTGCCTAGTGAGTCATCTCCTCACCCCACAAAAAAAAAAAATGTTTCTAGGACTTTTCTCCCCCCATTTAAAATCAAATGGGTCTGTGACTTAAGGGAAAATACAGACTTTAAAATCATAGATTTTCTTTTTGTTTCACCTATACACTATTATTGAGGAAAATATTACTATATTGTTATAAAATGAAAGAGCTCTGAAAATGTTTCACTACCCGAATTAGTCTACGTGTTCCACATTGCTGACACAGCCTTCTGTAGCTCAGGTGATCAGCTCTGACCATTGCTAGTGAGACCTGCCCTGCCTACCTTCTCATGCTCTTTGCCCAAATATCACATGTAGCTTAAAATAAGACATTTAATGACTGCTACACAATATGATAGTACTTTAACATATTATATACAATAAATGGCAACTATAATGTATGCATCCGTAACACACACATGAGAATTAGAAACCTGCTGTCATTAGGAGGATAGTAACACATTTATAATTAAACATTGAGGTCATGCCGTGTGCCAAGCACAGTGCAGGATGCTGGCACAAAGGAGTAAGCCCTCTAATAAAAACAGCATAATGACAAGTGACGCCAAGGATGAGGAAAAATGAGCACCTTCCAACACTGCTGGAGGCTTTGCCAAATGGTGCCACTGCAGTTAAGAGTGGAGTTACCATGTGACCCAGTAAGTCTACCACCAGGAGTTACTCAAGAAAAATGAAAGCACATGTCCACAAAAGCCCACCATCCGATGCATCATTCACCCTCACCACGTGGCGACAATCCAGTTCCTCACCTGATAGATAATAAAATGTGGTCTGTCCACACCGCAGGTGCAGCTTGCCAGTTCAGTGCTGACACAGATTATGCTATGGCTGGAACATCTGTGTCCCCTCAAAACTTCACACAGTAAATCCTAATTCCCAGTGCACAGCGTGGTAAGATGGGAGTTTAGCCAGTGAGTAGGGTATGAAAGTGGAGTGACCAAGAGAGACACCCTCCCCAGTGGTACATAGTGGCAGGCCTGTGGCACCAGAACTCAGGAGGCAGAGGCAGGAAAATTGCCAGAGCCCAGAAATCTGAGGCCCATGTGGGTGCTGTGGTTGGATCTAGAATGTTCTACAGAGGCCAGTGTTTTTAGGACCTGGTCTCAACCCTGTGCTGCCATTTTAAAGGCTGCAGAGCTCTTGGGAGGCAAGGCCTGGATTAAGAAGTAGGTCACGTTTGGGTGGACTTTTGTTTTGTTTTAAGGGAGGGTCTCCTGTGGCCCAGGCTGACCTTAAAGTGTGTGTGTGGCTGAGGACGGATGATCTTGATGCTCCTGCCTCCACCTCTAGAGATGGATGAAATTACAGTGTGCTCCTCCTCCAGTTTGTGACGGGCTAGGGATGGAGCCCAGGGTTCTGTGTAAATGAGGCAAGTGTTCTACCCACTGAGCTACATGCCATTTTTTCCTAGGCGATGCCTCACTTCCCTAGGGCTGGGGGCCGAGAGTGTGCTTTGAAAGTTATATAATCCTTAGTTCCAGTTCTTTCTGCTTCTCGGACCTTCCACCACGGGAGGCATCTCCACCACACCTCCTGCAATGGACTGAAACACCTCCCAATCTTTCCCCTGTAGTTGCTCTCTGCCGGTGTTATGATCACACAAATGAGGAAAGTAACAGACGCCCTGGGCAGTAGAGAACTGTTTGGAATGACAAATGATCCTGAGACTGAACCAGGACACACAGTACAGAGGAGGCCACACTCAAAGCAATATGGGGCATTATGGACATTTTTAGGACCACAAATATTACAACTGACTGGGAGACGCCTGAGCCTGGCTGTTCTAAGCCCGCTGAAGAAGTGGATGCAAAAGATGAAATATCCGCCTCAGGAACCACCAAGCCAGACCAGCTGAGTAGTCAAGGAAGAAGTGACCCGGCTTGCAGAAACTCTTCGAGGCAGAAGGGGTGAAGGGAGTGCTCCTTAAGGACTCAACGAAACACAAGATCAGTCGTGTAATGACAATCGAAGCCTGGCAAGAATGCTGCAAGAAAGGAGAGTTCTGGAATAATGGCACCCTTCGGTAAAACGGAAGCCAACGAACGGTAAAGTCACAAAGGGAGAACATAAAACCACGGAGACATGTATCTGACTGGCTTCTTGTAAAAAAAGGTTAAGGACGTTGGGGAGTCGGAGCTAGGGGTATAGCTCAATGGTGGAGCTCTGGGGTCTGATTCCAGCACACAAACCAACCAACCAGGGGGGAGGGAGGGAGTGGGGGATGGTAATAGAAAGCTCGAAGAAGCAGGACATGAGGTTAATAAAGTAACTTCAATAATTGGCTTTGTGCAAAAGCAAAATACAGAGATTAGCTGCACAGGGAGACACACTTGCAATCCCAGAACTAGGCAGGAGGATCAAGAGTCCAAAGCCAGCCTCAGTACATAATAAATTTGAGGTTAGCCTGGGCTGCATGAGACATTGTCTCAAAAAGGAAAAAAAAAAGATTAATTACATTTTTATTATGTTACACCAACAACAGAGAAACGTAGATAATTTAAAAAAAAATCACCATTTGCAGTGGTCCTTAAGAATGAACACTAGGACATTTTGTGATGAATATAATGCCATCTGCCTCCCAGATGTTAAAAAACATAGAAAATGGAAAGTTATATTGTAGTTTTGAAGACATAAAATATAGAAGCTCTCTGCCAACTTGACCTGCGGATCCCAGTCTGAAGCCCAGCCATTGTTCTGCTTCCTCCTGAGACTGGGAGATTTGATGGTTAATTTGCAAGTTGTAAAGTAGTGACACAGCACAAGGCTGCATTTTGTAAAAGGAAAAATTCATGCATTGGTGCTATGTGGAAATGCTATTTTAAAAAGCCCTTCGGTGGCCCTTTAATCTCAGCACTCAGGAGGCAGAGGCAGATGGATCTCTGTGAATTCAAGGGTAGCCTGGTCTATGAAGTAAGCCCCAGGCGACCCAGGGCTACACAGTGAGACCCTGTCTCCAAAACAAAACAAAGAAAGGCCCCAGGTAGAGTACTCATTTTCAGTTGCTATATAGTGATTAGTCCTTACTTGGTGGGGGCAGTTCTGCAGACTCGGGGCCTGTTCGGTACCGCCCACAGCAGATATCAAGGTGCATATGAGCTTGAGTTTCTGTCCAGAGGCTCTAGAGAAAAATCCACTTCTAAGCTCTTTTTTAAAATTGTATTATTTTTTTCTGGGAGGTGGGGGTGAGTGGGTGCCAAGGCGTGCATGGGGGATCAGAGGGTAGTTCGAGTTGGTTCTCTCCTTCCACCATGTGGGTCCTGGGGATTGAACTCAGGCTGCCAGGCTTGGCAACAAGCCCCTTTACCTGCCAAGCCCTCTCATGAGTCCTTAAGCTCATTCTTGCTGACAAAATTCAGTTCCCTGAGTTGTAGGAACCAGGTCTTGAGTTTCTTCCCGGTTGTCACTGGAAGCAGCCACTTCCCTTGTCACACAGCACACTCAAGCCAGCCACGGAACTCAGAAAGACACTTGCATTTTTTGATTGCCCCAGTGTTCATGAAGCCCACAGAGTCCAGAGCTTTGTCCTTTTCCTTTGTGCTCCTCCGGCGTTGGCTCATGGTTTCCTAAAATTTAGTTTCTGTGTCAAAAACAACAACAAACAAAAGAAAACCTCCAAAACTTGGAGAATTCTGGTTTCTCTCAAAATGTTAGAAGTTGCCCTGTGCAGGCTCCTTGCTCCTGCTGACTGAGGTGAGCAGGGCTGCCTTTCCCAGCAGCTGTGTTCTTTCCAGCTGTCCTGACATCAGGCACCTTGTGTCTTGTGCTGCCAAATGGTGGCAGTGTCCAAGTGGCAAACTTCAGATCTGGAAAGCCCCTATCACAGAGCCAGATTGCATGGCACTCCTCTCATTTAAGAAAAGGGTGCAGTCGGGGAGGTGCGGGGGAGAGAATGCGTTCATTTTCATTACAGCCCCGTTGTTAGAGTTGTTCTATTTGTCACTGTGGTTAAGCTCTTAACTGTGACCAATTTAGAAATTAACTAGCCCTTCTGTTTATGTCATGGGGTTACTTTTCCTCAAACCAGAGAACACCAAGGGGCTGGGCAGATGGCTCTTCGTGCCTTGCAAGCCTGAAGACCCAAGTTTAACGCCCAGCACACACATCAAAAAGCCAGGCGTCGCGGCACACACCCTAACCCAGCACTGGTGAGGCAGAAGCAGGCTAACCAGCTTGGTGTAATCAGAGAGCCCCAGACCAGTTAGAGACCCTGTCTCAAAGACCAAGGTGAACAGCACCTGAAACCAATCGCCAAAGTTGACCTCTGGCTTCCACACGCAAAGGCCATGTATAGTTACACCAACATGTATGTACCCCCACACGCCTGTGTGCATGGGGTGTGGGAGGGTACCAGAAACTACATTTCTGCCTCTTGCTACGCAAAGCTGTGAGTCTCAAATACTTACGATTTCTCTTTCCCATAGTCAACCGAACAATTTGTTCTGTGAGCAGACAGACATGCCAGAGGCACCAAGTCATCGGAGTCCCTCTCTCCTGGTACATGTGATGATGACAAATGAGAGTCTCAACATTTTTGATATGTAATATTCTCTCCTTGCCACAGTATCAGTTTCTAAGCTTTCAGTTACCCAAAGTCAACTATCGTCTGAAAATGTTCATGGAAATTGCAGAAATAAATAACTCACGAATTTAAGTTGTGTGCTTTCTAAATATCGTAGTGAAGGCTTGCTGCATTGTGGCTAGGCTAGAAGTCATTCCTACTGCAATGTATCCACACTGTATTCGCTAATCTCCCGTTACTCATTGAGGAGACATCTGGGATATCGGTTTGGCTGTCATGGTATCCTGGCACTTTTGTTCAAGAACTCTTATTGAATAATGGCCCCCGACATGCGTAGTATTGCTGGCAATGGAATGTGCCAAAGAGAGCCCCATGAATTGCTTCCTTTAAGAGTAGATGAACAGTGAGACATTTTGGGAGACAATATGCTTTTAACTTTTGTCATAGCATATTGTTACAATTGTTCTGTTATTATTAATAATTGTGGTTAATATCTTACTGTGCCAAATTTGTAAGTTAAACTTAATCATAGGCAAATGTGCATAGGAAAAACCACAGTATATCTAAGTATATATTGAGTATTGCCCACAGTTGCTGGCATCCACCAGGAATCTTGGCGCATATTCCCCTAACATTTTGTCTCAGGCTGAAGAGACAGCTTGGTTGTAAAGTGCTGACTGTGCAAGCATGAGAACCAGAGTTTGGGTCCCCAGAGCTCCTGTAAATGCAGCATGGCTGTGGGGACCTGCCTGCAATTCCAGCCCTAGGAAGATAGTACAGAGAATCAGCAGAGTTAGCTGGCTAGACAGACTTGCCGTACTGGTGAGCTCAGGGTTCAACTGAGAAACCTTGCCTCAGTGAATAAACTACAGAGTACACACATAGGAAACCTTGCCTCAGTGAATAAACTACAGAGTACACACATAGGTTCACACTCCCATAAGCATACACACACACACAGACACACACACACACAGACACACACACAGAGAGACACACACACACAGACACACACACACACACACACACACACACACACACACACACGGGAAAGAAAAGCTATGGCGCATTCTGCTCCTATGCGCTCATTGGATTTTGTTCTCTAGGCTCCATTTTAAGGGCATGGTTGCTCTCAATTTAGCAGGCCAGGCTGGTAGCTGGAAAGATTTCTCAATCCTAAAGAGTTTCCTGAGGTCTGCCCATGTCTGTGGCTGGATCAAACCACACACTACAATCTATTAACTTGGACTCCTCTTTTGTGTGCCTCCCACCCCCAGAAATTCTTTCGTTAAAATAGCCATTAAAATATAGTATTAAAATGTCTCATTATTAAAAAAGTACACTCAGCCATCAAGGTTTACTCAAAAACACAAATTCAAACTCCTTGGAGAATAGGTTGTGCTGAGATATTTACAGAAGGTCAGGGGTCTCCCCTTCCTCCTGAGACCCAGAGACGTGGGCAGCGTGAAACCAGGCAGGCCTCTCCAGCTTTGTTTGTACTGGAAGGAAGTCTGGAAAATGCCCCCTGTGGTTTCTGCAGAGTCTGGAGGTGGGTGGGCCTCACAGCACAGTGGAATGAAAACAAACCAACCTTCTGCTGGCTTTAGCACGGTTTATTAGAAAAGGTCTCTCAGAGAGCTTCCAGATGGGCCCTCGGGATTTGAAGAGAAACTTGAAAGGGTGAGGAAGTCAAAGTATAGTGCAAGACCAAATAATAATAATTTTTTAAAAAATCAACTCCACTTGATGGAGGCAGTGGAAAATTTATAAACATGCAGTCCATGGCAACCCAGCAGTTTGAAATGGAACTGAGACAATTTGTTTTCAACTCAAGTCCCATTCGGGTTATTAAGTCACTCCCTGAGGACAGCCACTCTCTTTCCAGAGCTGTCCTTGCTCCTTCAGCGCACACCCAGGAGGCCATGGTTTGGCTGCCGTCATTTACATTCACTAACTGGGGTCTGGCAGGCACAAACAGCTCCTGGCAGTTAGCTGACTAAACCTTCATTGTGTTCCCAAAGCCTGGATGGGTAGATAGGTGGATGGATGGATGGATGGGTGGGTGGATGGGTGGGTGGGTGGATGGGTGGATGGATGGATGGATGGATGGGTGGGTGGATGGGTGG